GCGCCCAGCGCCAGGCGCACGTCCTCGCCCGCGTAGCGCCGCAGCGGCTCCAGGCTGCACCCACACACTGTACTGCGCGCCGCCCCGCGCCCGCGGGGACGAGCGGTCGGTCTACTTACTAGCCATATTCGTCAGGAATCTTCTCGCCTTTAGAGGAGGGCTGCGGGCCCACGCCGACCCAGAAGTAGACCTCCTCGCCGCTGCCGTCGTACCGCAACTCCGGGATCCTGTGCGGATTGAGTTTGTTTTAGATTTACAAAACGGCTGTTTCCCAGTCGATTGTCCACGAGGGTGTAAGTGGTGGTTACAGTATGGTGGAGGCGTCGAGCAGTCGCACTGGTTTGCTGGAGACGGCGGGCGAGCCGGCGAGCGGGCCGATGGCGCGCTCGGCCGGGGCGTCGAAGTCGTCGGGCACGTACACGTCCCCGAAGGTGTTCTGGCTGCCGATGTCGTAGACGGCGAGCCACTTGATGCGAGAGATGCGCTTGCCCTCGGGCACGGCCAGCCTCACCTCTGCATTGTAGTAGCGTTCCAGGATGTTGGTCCTGCACACATGAGTACATTGACAACTGTGGCATCTATAGGACAACATAATGGCCATGCACGAGTAGTTATTAAGTAAGAGTGATTAAGCAGCAGAGTAAAATGTTGAAATTAATGGAAATTACAAAATCAATAACCAATTTGAATGTGTACTCATTAGCAAGTAGCAACACATACCCAATCCCTGGTATGATTGATGGCCAGCTTGTTACTGAGGGTAAGAGCTTACAGGTACAGCAACACACTATCTACCTGTGTGATTGATAGTGTACTTTCTCATTATTTTATTTATAGTTATTGCCATAGTTTTTTTAATAATGTCAACTTCGTAGTAAGATGGCATATAAGAAATAAGAGTTATAAGGAAAGGAATTTGTATTAATAATTACATGAGAATATTGATGTGCGAACTTACCCAACCACTATACACTCTGGCCATCTGTTGTACCGGGGTTTATATCAAGGAGGTGCAAATAGTGAACAAAATATTTTTTTTTTTTTTTAAATAGAGCAATAACATGTTGTTGTTTGAGTGGAAGCTTCAAATTATATTTTTGTGACTAACTATTTTTAATTTGGTTTTAGACCTTGATATACTGCTAATGAGCACCAAGTTTTAACAATTAATTAGTTTATTTATATATTTATGTACACACATACAACATAAAGGACAGCACATACATAAAATTATTAGTTTAGCACTTTCTACAAACATAGACTGGAAGGTTTGCTCAAACAGCCAACACCGCATGGCTACATTTATGAGAAAATAGAATATAATATAATACAGTTAATTATAACAAAATATAAATGCTTCTACAGACAGTGTGAAGTAATTGCAACTTGTTATTTGGATTGATACAGAATTTATCACTTTGGCTTCATGAGCCCATGTACACTAGTTCAAGCATAACTGAGTTACATGATGAGCACATTCATCTTGATCAGTGTCATCGTGCAAGTGTATATTGTCACACTGACCTGCCATACTCATTGGGAACAATGAATCCTTGTGGGCCAGGCCGGCCTGAATCTCCAGCCCAGAAGAATGTGTCATCTCCGGTGCCATCGTAGTTGAAATTTACCAGAAGTATAGTAAAGTCATCAACAGCGTACACTTCACCGGACACCTACAACAATACGCAGCAGTCACACAGATGGAGGTATTGCCAGCTGTGCCGAGGCTGTATACTTCTTTCTTTCATACTATAATTTGGTACAAACAAAAAACTTGCAAGTGTACAGTAAGTAATTGAAAACCAAACGTGAACCGTGGTGCTGTGGGCCACATACCGACCTGATGATGGTAGGAGTTGAGTTTCCCGATAAACTTGCCACGATACGGCCCGTCCTCGTCCTGCGACACACAGTCTGCAACAATACAGCATTGTCGATAGAAAGTTTTCTCACATTCACTAAATAAACAGTATACAGATAACTGATTTTACCTTTCGTGACTGCTATCAGAAGCAGGAAGCATAATGTAATCATCTTACACTCACTTCATTTACTTAAACTAAATTATAAACTTTTACACACAACTAGAAACTTTAAGTCATAACATGCGAAGTATATTCGCATAGTGTAACTTCCGGTAAGTCAACTTGACAAATCACTGCCTCAGTTTTGTTCTCACAAATCCAAAACGTTGTTCAAGGACAGCGTTCTATTGGTGGCGCGTAGCCTTAAGTAGCCATAACCAATCGGAGTGTTTCTTGACTAAACTTTCACTTTTTGTTCTCGTTACATTGACTCCGACTCGACTTGGTGACGTGCAATCAACATTGGACAACTTTAATTTTATTTATAATATTTTGTTTCATTAATAATTATCCATAAATGAAGTAAGTAAATGAGAAGAAGTAGGAAACGATGCGCTATACATGTATAATGTGAACTACCTGGGTCATGTTCATGTAATATGAATTAGACAGGGGATAATGTAGGTGGTTGAATTGAAATATTAGTATCATTGGTTGCTTTAATCATTTAAAGCATAAGAAATATCAAAACATATTTGAAGTGTTGGTAAGTTGGTGAGCACGATGCTGCACTGCTGCGTTCAACATTTCATTGTTTCTGTGTGTTGCTATTAGTTTGATGCTAGGCGTCGATACCAGAATGACAGTAAGACAGTGGTAAAGTATTATACACATAAAAAAACCTATTTTCTTTACACACATATTTTTATTCTAGGTATCCTAATAAGAAAACCATCTTAATTAGAAATGAATTCAAATGAAGATTCGTTACATCTGCGTCTGTCATTCTTACCTACCCTAACATAGTACAATGTGTGTGACGCGACATGCGATATTTCAAATTAATATTGTAATATCGTCAAAATATTTCTTATTTTATGGGATAGGATAATAGGCCTAGCTACCTTGCTTCTTACTTCCAATATACTTGCACTAACCACTCAAAATTTCTTCGTTCGTCTCAAAATCGACACCTTTAATGTATCTCTCATGGCACTGACTTTCTTCATTGAAGCTGTTCGTCTCTGGAATGCGCTGCCTGAGGAGATCAGCATGGCAACAAATCGTAGTTCTTTTAATGTAAAGTCCGCGAGCATTAACTTAAGCACTGACAGACTCAAAACAATTGAGGAAACTATTTTGAGAAAGTTTTCTATAATGTATTGTAATATTTATGTAGTATTCGTATTCGTTTAGCAGTATATATTATATTATTATTATGTGTGTCAATTTACATTTATAAAATAGTGTATTAATATATTTATTGTATGGGTTTTTATGTATGTAGGTAGTACACATATTATTAATAACATTTTTTTTTTATAACGTTGCCCCACATTAGGATTTTCTCCTGTGTCGTGGGTGCGTTTACAAACATACAAGTTCACATACACAATTACACCCAGAGACGAAACAACAATTTGTGGATCACACAAAGTGTTGCTCCGTGCGGGAATCGAACCCGCGACACGTTGCACGGCAGCCGGTTGCCCAGCCACCGCGACAACCGTGCAGTCATTTTTTTCCATTGTGTTCTGGCTTCGCATCAACCGCTTCATTTCTCAACACTTTCCTATGGTTGACTGTCAGAGAATGCCTTAAGACATTAAGTCCGCCATTCACTGTTATCTTTGGTGAAGATGAAATATATAAATAAATAAAAAAATAGATAGACCTGCGGACGAGCAGACTGATCACCTGATGGTAAGCAATCGGCGCCAAGTGCCTTGCTGGCCTTTTGAAGTTAAAAAAACAAATTTTGATCTCGTAATAAAAAAAGTAGGTAAATGATAGATAAGACTTACCATGCCGTACCTGTATGGAAAAACCCAAATACAAAAACAGTTTATTTCTAAGTACCAGCTACTCCCGCGCGATTCGGGACATTATAACTTTGGTTTAAATTCTGACAGCGGTACAATAATATTGTTAAGTCTGGTAAAAACGCTGTGAATCTTACATTTCTCATTTCTCTTTCTCTCTCAGACAAAAATGTAGATCTAAAACCCACCGCTGCCTGGTTGCGCTTGCAGCGCGTACCAGCCAGTTGTAGTCACTGCGTTGACCGTGCAAGAAGATTTAGTTTTATGTATATTATTATTCTTGTACGGCTTGTGTTTAACGTATCGCCTGATTTAGTAACATATAACAGGCAAAAATAGTAGATGATCATCAGAATTCAAACCCCATTTTAATCTAAAACCATAATTAAGATTGGTAGGTACATCTAGCTATCCTATTAGAACAAATGTTTTCCAAATAAATCAAAGTTGGCCCATAGATAGTTAATGACCACTGACGGCAGGGTTTGAAGTAACCTAACGAATTACTTGACATACCTACCATTCTGAGCTATCCGCATGCGCCTACCATCATACCATGTCGATGTCGGACTGCCATCACAGGTTATCATTGATCCTTTAGGTACTACATTTGGTGATCATTCACTACATTTTTGGTGTTAAGTATTATATTTTTGGTGGTTATAATATTTAATCTCTTATTGTACATGCCACTCTCGCTCTGCCCGGCTCCTATTGACCAAGCGGATGTTTTATAAGCCTTCCTCGCCTCCTCGGTAAATGGACTATCCAGCACAAGAAGAATGATCCAAATCGAACCTGTGGTTATATCCAAATTAGATTTCTTGTGACACATTTCTGAAGTGTATGCGTTTTCATATGAAAAATATAAAAGTTTCCTTAAGCGCGTTTCCTTCTAGATATTAGAAACCCAGATAAGGCGAAACAAACGATAATAATTCGACATCACCGTTGTTCGTACTTTGTTGGGCTGTAGTTGTAAGGAGATATTGTCAGTCCTTAAAACCTACACATACTGTTACTTTCGAGGGTGACCTGATCTGAGTTATCCTTAGTTCCATTCCCTACAAATATGAAATAAGTACCTACTTGGGTAATTTTACGCGGTGTTTTAGAGTTTATGTTTCAGGCTAGCAGGGCAGCAGCGGCAGCTTGCTCAACGCGCGTTGAACAAAAGTGGAGGCAGAGCGCGCGCGCGACCAGTACCCACACGGCAGTCGCGAGGCACGCACGCGCGACCTCCGCCTCCCGCGCACCGCTCTACTCGTGCTCGTGTTCCCGACAGTGTCGCCGCGATGACCCCCGCGGCGGCCATCGCGCTGCTGCTCCTCGGTGAGTACTCCTCACCCGACACCAACCACTGCGTTCTACATCTTTCTATAATTATCTATGACTTTCATCTCTGTACCCAGCGATCACGAAATGCATAAATAGGATATACGTATAGTGCAGACGCCAGATATCAGAAGTCTGGCGGGCACGAGCTGCTGCACGAGTACTGTGTGTGTGTTGTGCATGCAGCGCGCAATAAGCTGCCTGGTATCACAGCTGGTATCAGAAACTTTGTGAGGCGACTACTATCCACTTCAGATGAGGAGATGTTGTATATCGCAATATTTTGTTGAAAAGTGCACAAATTAGTAATCATTTACTGTAGAAGTAATACGTGTAGAACGTCCCGAGTGGGCGAGTGTGAGCAACACAGACAGGATGTCAGCAGACAGCGCTGCTGGCACAGCTCGGGCTGGAGCCTGGCGCCGCTGCGCCTAGCAGAGAACCAGACTCGCGGAGCGTACACCAATTCACTAAGGAAGCATTCGCTGCGACATCACTCTCTGGGAGCTCTCTGTCCCATGAGATGACGTGATCTTCATGTAGAGTTCGGCTACAGAACACCATTACTAACGAGTATACTTATGGGGGCCTTTCACTAGACGAGGTGTAAAAGTTGTTTTTCTTAGTAGAGGAGAGTAATCGTGGGCCTCCAAATAACTTTCTACGCATATGTAGTGCGTTAACGCGGCTTCCGTGATTACCTGCATGACCCGAACTAACCGGCTCGTGTTCCCGTCTCATGTTATTACTTACACTCACACACTTATGTTGAGTAGAAGGTAGTTCATTGGTGACAGAAGCTTACCGTTGTTAGTGGTCGTGTTGTGGTGGAGATGACGCAGTGCGGCAGTGCAGTATGTCGGGTAGGGTGTGTGTGTGTACGCAGTATGTTCCTATGTATGTATGTATGTATGTAAGTAGGTAGGAGCGCTCTCATTAGCATCGTGTGACATTTGTGCGGCGCCTGGCGCCTGGCGCCTGCTGACCCGGCCGCCGCCGCCGCCGCCGCCGCCACGTTAGCGAACTATTATTATTAGTTATTATGCATTTCTTGGATACGTTATTTATTTAAAGGTGTAATACTGGGCGCGCGTCGGGCTGCGTTACGTTGCGAAACCACTAGCGCCACAGGAAGTGTGCGAAGGAAGCTACTTTCATAATTCTGTGGCCGTCTCGAGAGTAGCGAGGATATGGCTACCAGCCCTAGCCTAGTATGGCATGCACATCAGCGCTCACTGCTGGGTCTGGCGGTAACAGTAGGAATACTGCGGGGTTAAAGAGGTCGACTGAAGTGAGTGTAAACATTGGACAAGGTTGTTTGTATATCCTGAGGTTACAGTCTGCCGCTCGGTGGGGATGTGTGTATGTTGTCAACAGATTGGAGTTGTCTGTCCAGCCAGTGTGTGTGTGTGTGTGTGTGTTGGGTTCAGCGAGTCAAAGTTTCCAAATAATGTGTGCAAACTGTATGTAGCGTGGGGTCGAGTCAGGTTTGTGAACGTTTGAACCTTGACATTTGCCGGCGCCGGCGCTCGCACCGGCCACCGCGCGCTGTCCGTACTGCGGACTGCAGATGTATGTCACGACCGAGGCGCGACCGCTTCGCACCGGTTTGTGGCCGCAGACCAATGTTTGTGTTGTTACACCAGATGATTATGTGTAACTCATGACGCCTGCTCTCCGCTCGTGTTTGTTGATCTTGAAGCATTTGTATATAATCAATCTACATCGTTTTGAGTTCTGCAAGATGTCGTCTTACAGAATAGCCTGGCTGTTCAATATAAACAAAAACAGTGGTTTAAGACTTGCCTTGACATTTGTAGTCCCTAGGCGAAGTGTCATTTACTTACATACAATCAATGAAAAGATTTTTCCTGATCAATTTGAATAAAACATTAAAATTATACATGTCAACAACGTAGACATAATCGTATTGTCTCGCACACTTCTAACAATAGAGCGTCTCTGTTGTTGTGAAGATGTACAGAACCTCTACAGAATCTCTGGTGGTGGGCAGTGAGGGCAGAGGTCACGTGACATAGGAGGATACGCGGACTCGACCTTAACCTAGTGTGTGTCTGCAGCCGGCAGCCCCGCACTGCACAGTGCCGACCAGAAGGTGCATAGACTGGGCCGCGTGCTGTGTAGCGCCTGACGGAGGATTGTTATGCATTGTCGTTGGTTGTTAAGGAAATGTTCCCCAGCTGCAGGAGTAAGAGACACGGAGCCACACGGGCCGCACATGAGGTGTTG